TTGTTTGTTTTTTTAAGACAGGATTTCTCTATATAGCCCTGGCTGCCCTGGAACTTAGTCTGTAGACCACATCTGCCTCGAACTCAAGAGGTCTACCTGCCTCTGCCTCCCGAGTATGCTGGGATTAAAGGCACATGTCACCACCAACTGGCTCTTCCTTGTCTTTTACTATTTTTGGTTTTTCTCTGTGTAGCCTTGGCTGTCCTGGACTCACTTTTGTAGACCAGGCTGCCCTTGAACTCACAGAGATCTGCCTGCCTCTGACTCCCTGAGTACTGGGATCACAAGTGTGCACCACCACACCTGGCACATTTTTAAAGCTTTTATAAACTGAGGTGAAGTTCAGACAGAAAACTATTTGCTTTGTGATCCCGGGGATTATCTGAGGCAAGTACTCTGAGCTACCCACCTGTAGCACACCACTGATCACCTTAAAGTGCAGTTCCTCGTCACGGAGTACCCTCACCACGATGGACACAAACGTGTGTTTTCAATTGTCACAACTGGGATCTCCTTAAGTCTTTTCTTGTCTCCTCTGTGATTCACTGCCTTACACAAGGCTCCCGTATGTTGAGGTACATATATGAGGCCCCACTCATTCTATTGAATCACAGCTCACTGCTTCCTTCACCATAGGTCCATCCCGTGGCTGGGCCCTGGGTAGTGGAGTTCAGAAAAGAAATTCCAAAATATGCCACTATGGCTCATGACCTATTCTCAGTCAAGGCACTGGAGCTTTCTCCTGTCCTCTCTCCCTATGTCTGCATCTCTTTTCATCTTCCTGACTGCTGAGATTATAGGAAGTGCTACACACCCAATTCTGTCCTTCTTCCTAAAAGCAGGAGTTGATGTACCCTTTCTACATCAGAAGGAAAAAAAAACATTCTTATCAAGGGCAGGAAGTCACGAAGGAGAGAAAGCAGTATAGACCAAAGTCTAGACAGACCTTTACCTTTCTATCACTGCTCCACCCAACTCCCTACCTAGCCCAGCCCCTCCACCTTGACACATGGTCGTAATTTACTTTGAATCCTGAGAACACTTATTCTGCATAGAACTTTACAGAACACAACCAATACTGGACACCCCATACTACCACCTAACACTAAGAGAATTGTCATCTTGACATGACATGAGAGAAGGGTCAATTTGCTTGACTAAGATCCTCTGGCCACAGAGCAGCCACAGCTACACATGGCTTTGTGGTGTCGGGTCTTCTCCCTGCTAGCCTCAGCTGTGGCCTCGGTCCTCTGAATCTCACGGACAAGCAGAGACATGGTCATAATTTAATATTGCTCCAGTACTTAAGCACTTGACTCTCAGTGCTTCCTTGGGTGCTCATATCTTAAAACTTTGTCATTTATTTGTGTATTTGTGTGTGCATGTGTGAGAAGGTTGGAGGACAAACTGTGGAAATCAATTCTCTCCTTCCACCATGTGGGTCCCCAGGGATCAAACTCCGGTCTCAGGCTTGGCGGCACACACCTTTACACACTGAGGCTTTATTCGCTCTGTTCACATTTCTTGTGAGGACTTCCATGTTTATGTAAAAACCTAAATGCACCTCAAACCTGAACACACCCCCTTTTCCCCCTTAAAACTGCTCTTTGGTTTTCTAGGGTTAGCTGCAGCCCTTAAGGTAGAGGAGAAAGTTTACGGATGCCAGGTTTTTAGGATTATCAATAATGTCAGGATTATACTGCCTGTTTGTGCCAGTGCTGGTGCTCGGCAGGGGTTAGAAACCCGGGAAGAGTCACCTGTGAAAGGCCAAGGACAGCTCTATTAGGCAGGTGTTAACTGACACTCCCTTGAGTTTGACTTCCTCGGGAAGGAGGGGCCACATGCACAGTTAATTGCTGGAACTTAGACGGTGTTTATCACTCAGCGTAACACTCCAAGGTGGGCACAGCGGAATTAATACCCACTCCTAGCAACTTTTTGAATACAAGGGCTCTAAGGCTGAGGGGTATAACACTTGTTTTTAAAACTCTACTTTGGGCTGGAGTGATGGCTCAGTGGTTAAGAGCACTGTCTGCTCTTCCAAAGGACCCGGGTTCAATTCCCAGCACTCACATGGCAGCTCACAACTGTCTGTTAATGCTGATTCCAAGCGCTCTGACTCCTTCACACTAATGCATATAAAATAAAACCAAATAAATCATAAAAAAAAAACCCTCTACATTTGGGGTGTTTAGGCCTCAACCTCCCTTCCAACCTCCCAACCCTACACAGGAGAGAAGGCTAGTGGGGAGGGAGGGCTCCTTTACTTCTCCCAGCTGTTTAGGGTCAAGGGGTTCTTCTAGGGCTCGACACCAATCTTCATCAACAGCAGATGCAGCCAGCAGTCTCTTTCAAGCCACGTTCCTGAAGTATTTCTCTCAGTCTGACGCTCCAAAGCTCCAAATCACCACGCCATCCATCTCTCTGCTCTCTCCAAACTGCTACACGCCACACGCCAACGCCACATGCCAACACTACATGCCATCTCTTTCTGGGCTCTCATGTTTATATTCTCCAGAGCCCCAGACTACGCCCCTCTTCCATGCTCCTCTCTATGCCACGTGTGGAAGGCCGTTACCAGCTGGCAAAGATCACACCCCACAAGTGACCATTAACAGCTGTAGAAAAACTATAGCCCAGCTAAAATCCCACCCTTGGGATTAAAACAAAAACATATTTACGCAACGTAACTGAGTTTACAAAGAAACCCAAACTTCCGTTACAGGGGGGCTCAGCCAGAAGGCTGAAAGCAGGATGCGCTGCACTGAAAGATGCTCTCCTTGGTTTCTCAGCCTCATCCTCCCGACTCTCTGGAGCCAGGCAACATCCAGAAGGGAGGAAGGCAGCACTCCTACCGTTAGCACAGCAGAGCTTGGCTGTGACACCTGCTACCCCCGTTTGCTCAGGCCAAGGACCTCTGAGGAATCTCAGTAGCACAGCTCCTCAGCAGGATCTCACATGCTGCCCTCGCTGGGGAGGCCGAGTGGCAGTGGCCCGTGCGTCCTTGCCTCTGCAGGGCCAGCTGCCATTTCTCTTCACTACAGAACTTCTGTATCCAGGTTCCTGTCCCCAGACACTCTTCCTTTCCCAAAGAAAGTCCCCAACATGGACAACATGGTGGCAGGAGCCAACAGTACTGAGAGGCTGTTCAGTGTGCTGCGAAGCCATGTGATGTGCGTGTGCTCTGGCGGGTTCCCTGATGACTTCAGGCAATTTCCTCCTGTAGAAAATGGGGCAATGCTAGAGGCCGCGTGCAAGCACGTGTGCGTGCGTGTGCGCAGCTGCAGACGGCTCTGAGAAATGATGTGGTAAAGGCACCACCAGTGATTTGCTGATGACATCAGGCACGCCTGGTCCGCTGACCTATCACCTTCATACTCAAATCACTCTGTCTGTCCAGTTCAGTGAGTAGCCAACTCTATCAGGTATGTCTTACCAACACACCTAAACACTTTTAGCTCTTGTGAGGAACTGGTATCAGAAGGCAGAATACTGAATTCTGGAGTTTCTCCTGTGCCCTGCCTTGCCAGACTACGACAATCAAGCTTCACACACTCAGACAACTTGCCACACTAACCACGAGGCAGCACGAGAGCTGGACAGCCTGTCACGTGGACGTCCCAGTCCTGACCTGGTGGAGGAGCATCCTGTCTCCACTGCTCTCCAAAGATGTCCTGGTCCTGCGGTGCTGGCCGTTTGGCTCCCCGGCTGCATGGCAGAGCTCTCACACTCAACCGTACCTGGCTAGGCTGTGCAGGGCCTCAGTGGGCGTCTCCCTCCTTAGCTCCACAGTGCACACCGCACTCAAGGTTACTTCTTACTGTGTCCCTGGAAGCCCTAGAGGCCTTAGGCAGAACTCTTAATTAGGGCACCGAGTTCCTCAAGAAATGGGTGAGCAGGGTACAGAGAGGCCTGCTTTATTATTTGACCTCATACTGCTTTAGGGCAGTCTGCACACCCCCCCTTAATTAGAAGGTACCAGATACTTTGGAATTCTGACACACCCATCTGGGACACAGAGAAGACAAAGGACCAACTGGACAGGACAGGGCCAAGGAGCTAACTCCAAGGAGAGTCTCTGCTACACGGGATCAGCTGGACAGTGAGTGCCCTTAGCTAGATCTCCATAGTCAAGAGGGCCATGACCCACAAAGGGCACCAATCCACCTCCAAGTATTGACTGGCTCATTCTTCATGAGTCATCGCAAACATTTCTTTAACCATTCCTAATTCTTGAATAAAGAACACCATCTAAGTTCTATTAAATGTGGACGTGAGTAGCTAGATAAAATTTTTCACACATTTTTATAAACTGTGGGTTCGACACTGTCTGCCATACTTCAAACAAACTGTCAGAAGAGAGTATTGGGGGGGGGGTGCAGTTCTAGTTACTGAACTAAGGGTCCACTGGGGAAGGCCAGACATATGTGAAGGTAGCTTAGTCTTCCCATAGTGAGGCAGGGTGTCAGGACAGCTAGCAGTGTAGCTGAGAAAGCAATTCTCACTAACAACTCTGATGGGCTCACACAGGAGTACGTACTGACCAAGAGAAGAAAAGCTTGCCGGTGCCCATGTCTGCTCATGGGTCCCCATGGGGCCCTCCCGTGTAGGTCTCTGCCTCCATTCTGCAGTCATCACACTCAGCCCACAGTGTGTGGCAAGGCAGGGCCTGGCTCCTCTGTCTGGTTTATGCCTATGAAACAGCTACTTGTTTACTGAAGAGCCATGTCCACTTCAGGCATTCTGTCTTGCTGGCAGTTCCTCTGGCCCTCCAGCCTGACTCCTGCAGTCAGAAGTGGCAGAGTGTGGTTTCTAGCTGTTAAAGCAGATGTAGGTCTTGGTGAGCAGGGAGGCCCTCCTCCCTAACAGGCAGCCTCTCTCCTGTGTTCTTGCAGACCTGAGACTCTGGCTGTGTGTTGGGAGGCTGCTCACCTTCTTCTGGCTCAGCTTGAGGCACCTCAAAATCCTTCCTTACAGAACACAATTCTGTGTCTCTCGGACAACTTTTAAAAGATGCTTTATTAATAAGAAAAGTTGAAATCCACATCCAAGTCAGAACAGCATACATACGGACTGTATACACTCCTCTCCAGGATGAGCAACCACCGACGCAGGGCCAGCTGCGTTCACCTCCTCCCTCCCTACTCTCCTGCAACGGCTTTAAAAAACAAACAGAAGAGGCCTCCAGCTTGTGACAGAGGCTGGAAACGCTGTAAGCACACATTTGCAGCCTCCGCTGTGAGGCCACTTTACATCTTATGATGCAGACACACTGCAAAGTGCCTGTGCAGCTGGGTCAGAGACGTCATCACTGCCTGGGTCAGAAGAGCGCAGCTGGGAGCAGATGCCCAGGAGAAAGGGACAGCCTTTTCTAGACAGAGGTGACAGAAACTGCATAGAGCCCATGGATGAAGGTCCTGCCCTCATGGGGTGTGAGTAGAGACTACCTGATCTGATGACAGCCTGAAATGTTCTCTGGTCACCTGGACAGACCTCCGCAGATGGATGTGCACAGACCATGAGCTCACGGGTAGCCCTGTAAACTCCCCTTGTGGGTAATGAGATGCTAACCACCTGGTGCCAACAATTCAGCTTTGGCTGCTGCGAACACTACCCACACATCTGAGGCCTAGCTGTGGAGGCCCACTGTGACCACGTGTTTCTTGTCCTTACGCTGGCATCAGCTCACTGTAGCCCTCTGAGGCACTGATGTGACTCATGCCATCCATAGGCCAGAAAATAAACCTGTGGTCAATGTCACAGAGCTATGTCTGAGCAGGAAACAGAAAGTGGTTTTTGAAGCCCACTTTCTCCTCATTCCCATGCCCCAGGAGCAGGTGACCGGATTTAATATTGTATTAGCATGGGTGGTTTGTTACTTATTTTCTTCTTCAATGCTTCCTAGGTAGGAAGTTTGGGTTTGGAATTTTCCTAAGGAGTATAAAGAACAAGAGGTCTTTAGAATACTTCCCACCCCCTTTTTTGAGACAAGATTCACTTTAGGCCCAGACTGGTCTGAAACTATGTAACCCAGGATGGCTTCAAATTTGCAACAATTCTTTCTCAGCTTCCCAAGTGCTGGGGATTCTAGGTGTGTGCCAGCACTACTGGCAAGAATATCCCTTGACAAAGAAAAAACTATAGATCTACTGAGGTAGAAAATACATCTGAAGTAGACTTCTTTTTTATAGGAGCAAAAAGGGAGTGGGAAACAACAAAAAACCACTCAGCATTAAGTTAATTTATCCCACCTTAAACATGAGAATCTCACGTGGGAGAAGCTGAATCAACTGAGAACAAATGCCCAGAGACACAGCATCTGTGCACCCAGGCAGGCCCCCTGAGGGTCTCCAGGAGAGGCTGATTTCAGAGAGGCCTATGGCCTCACAAACTCTCACCATCACAGACAGGTCTGAGATGCAGTAGCTGGACCTGGGCTGGCCGTCACAGCCTTTGTAGCAGTGCACAGGGAAGGGGAGTGGCGTCTTCACTTTCACCAACCTCGCAGAGGGCTTCTATTTGTTTATTTAAAGACAAATTTTAAAAAGTAAAATGAACGAAACCAGGTGAGATTAAGATACATAAAACAAACTGCAACGTAGAAAAAGGGCCTTGCTGAAAACATGATGAAGAACACGGGAAATATTTCACAGACACACAAGAGCTCACATTGTCAATAGGATTAAGCTGCTACTAATTTTCCCCAGAATGTCAAGGTTTCATTTTGCTCAGCCTGAGATCTCGCTCAATTTCAAACTGCCTGTGGTCCACTCGCTCCAGAAAAGCTTTTCGTTCAATGTACCTGGAAGAAGAAAGAAAGAGTGTGAGTAAAATGTGACAGGAGAGGCCTCCCCTGCTCTGCCCAAGCCCAGGGGTAAGTCACGCTGCTGCAAACCAGCAGGTGCACCAGGCTGGTGCCCAGTGGGCACTCTGGGCTCTCTTATTGCATCCAAACCACCCATCCACAGAAGGACAGTTCTGTCCAGACAAGAACAGGCTAGAGAATTGAGTCAAGTGCAGTGGCACACACCTGTTTATTTATTTATTTTTTTAAAATTTATTTTATATGCATTAGTGTGAAGGTGTCAGATCCCTTGGAATTGGGGTTATAGACAGTTGTGAGCTGCCATGTAGGTGCTGGAAATTGAACCCAGGTCCTTTGGAAGAACAGACAGTGCTCTTAACCACTGAACCACCTCTCCAGCCCCAGTGGCATACACCTTTAATACCAGTATTAAAGGAGGCAGAGGCAGAAAGATCTCTGTGAGTTTGAGTCCAGCTTAGTCTACAGAGGGAGCTCCAGGATAGCCAGGGTTACACAGAGAAACAATGTGAAGGTGAAAGCAGGTATGGATTGCAGAGCTATTTAATTCTGTCCGCTCTGTGACGCTGGGCATCTTCTACATAGTTTGGGGCCAGGCTGTTTTTGTGGCATTAAAGAAGGGGCCCTTTCCTGAATTCCTCTAAGCAGTGAGATCAAGCACCTCTGTAAGAACAGACACACACAGGCTTTCCTTGGAAGCCTGGAGCTGTGCTCCTGCTCTCAGGCCAAGGTCAGAGATCTCTCTGGAGGTCTCCCTCAGTCTTCCCAGACAGGGTGGGAGGAAGGCCAGCCTACGCTGGCAGGCATGCTGGTCAGAAGGGAGCCTGGTTGCTTAATGAGACACAGCTGCATTTTAATGTACCTTTTCTTGCCATAAAGTGTGCTGCAATTTGCTTGCGGGGAGGAACTCTCTGCTGCTAATTAATCTACTGAGGAAGCAAAACTGCCATTAAAAATGGGAGACATAATTGAATCTCTGCACTAATTTTTCTTTGTAGCACCATGGAAAAATGTGCATCTGTCACTACAAGGTTATTACGTTCATGGTGAGCATGTAACCTGGTCCAGGGACCCGTGTTCTTCACTGAGTTCAGGCCTTGTCTTCCTGCCCTTCAGCATCCTGCAGGAAGGCCCATCCCATCTGCTTGCCAGTCAGACCTGAGGCTACTAATCCTCCACATACCAATGAGGACTGGTCAGAAAACACAGTTCTGAGGCCAGAGGGAGATGAATTAGAATCTTGTCACTCACTGGCTGTGTGGTATAAACTTAGCAATTGTCAGTTCCTTACAGTATATAAAAGGGGGAGGGAACAACAACAAAGATATATATATATATATTAATCCCAGGACTACTAGGGCTGAGGGAGAAAGGCTGATGTGAATCCTAGACCAGCCAGGGCCGGAGACCACTCCTGCAGTTTTATTTTTTTTAATTTCTGGAGACAAGAGTTGCATATAATTCAGGCTGGCTTACTATATATAGCCAAGGATGACCACAGCCTCCTTTATCTTTCTAATGGCTAAAACTACAGGTATGAACCTTGTGCTGTCTTATGTGATGCCAGGGCTTTGTACATACTAGGCAAACACTATACCAACTCTACTATAGCCCTGGCTCCTGAAATACTGGCTTAACAAAATGCTAAAACCCAAAAACCTTACAGAGCCCAACCAAAAAAACCTAAAGAAAGATCAGTCCTCCTTGCTCAGATGGGTTGCTGTGAGGAGTAAATGAAATAGCGTATTAATAATGCCTAACATGAAACAGGAGCTCAGCAAAGTGCTAGCTAATACTGTCACTATGATTTTAGGCAGCCAACTTCCATCAGGGTCCTGACAACGGCAGATGGCCCACATTTGGATGTCTGAAACTAGTAACTACCACCTGGTCTGGATCAGGAATTAGGCTGTGGTGTCAAAACTGTCAATGAGGCCAGAACAGCTGGAACCCATGGAAAGGCTATGCTTAGGTGTGACACAAGTCCCATGGGCCAGAGTTGTCAGATTTAGTAAATGGAAATAAAGGGAGACCCAGATTCCCTGGTAAAGAGAGAGGAAATTCAGATTCCCTGGTAAAGAGACAGCAGTGACAGATACTTCTGATAAAGGCAAAGAATGAGACCTGAGTGAGGAGTGTGGACACACAAACAACTTAACACAGCAGCCTGAGGCCCTCACACATGGCTGCTTAGAAAACGGGGGACCCCACCTACTGCAATCAGTCATCCCTCCACCCTGGCTGTCCTGGAACTGGAGAAGGGGCCACATGGGAACTGGGGACTTGGTGGTGGGCATGCTCACGGCCTCTCAGAAGAGCCAGCAGAAGAGAGGTGAACAAGCGGGAGACAGTACTGTGCGTCACGTGGGGGTGTTTCAGGCCAGAGCTCTCAAGCTATCTGCTTTGAGATCAGGAAGGAGAAGGAAGCGATCCTGACATTGGATGCTCACTGAGCATGGATCAGGGCTGCCACACTGAAACTGTGTGTGTCCAGATGACCTGGAGATTACTGAGAGCAAAGTCTAGAACAGATGCTCAAGGTGCAGAGCTGAGGCCAGGGGAGCCTCAGACAGCAGCAGGGCACAAGTACAGATGTACCCCGGTTTCAAGGGAAACCCATCAAACGCCATGGCAGGTCTGGCTACTGTGTTCTCCTAGTCACAGCCCCTGGCAGCTGTTAAAAGGGTCATTGTGACAGCTTGGCTTACATCCAAGAGCTGACCAGAAACAAGTCTTCCACTGGCCATGGACTTGCTGATGTACAGAAGCTGACATTACACTGCAGATGAGAGTGACTTTGATATCTCCTATCTGTGCTTTTGAGCAACGTATTTAATCTCTGACTTTTTGTGCTTGTTTCTTCCTTCTTGGGAACAGCAGGAATAATATGTCAATGATGCCGGCCAGTGGTAGCACACATCTTTAATCCCAGCACCCAGGTGGCAGAGGCAGTGTGAGGAGTTTGAGGCCAGCATGGTCTCGAGAGTGAGTTCCAGACAGTCAGGGTTACATGGAGAAACCTTGTCTCAAAAAACCAAACCAAAACAAAAAAATGTAACTGCCCCTCTGTGGATGCAATGAAACTGAGCTGTTTGGGGTTTAGGTGCTTGCTTCTCAACAATTTAATCATGTCCACAACTGGATGGCCTCAGACTGGGACATCTGGAGTAGACTGGAAACGCTCCTGAGGAAGGGCTGCCTCAAGGCCATCTGAGGGTTCACCTACTTCAACTGAGCCACAGGGGGTTCCAGGCACTTTAATTGGGCCACGGTTCCAGAACAGACCTGCTGGCTGTTCTGCAATGGGAATTAGGTTCTTGCTCCTTTCCTGGCCTGTGCCTAGCCCTCAATCAGACTGACTGAACCTGACCCACTAGGAAACCTAGGGCTGAAGGGGTGTGTCATCCTCTCCTGCTACTATGTTTTATTTTTATTTTTTTATGGCCCATTTAAGTAGCAGCAGATTTTTAATTTAATTTATTTTTAAAGACAAGCTCTCTCTGTATGTATAGCACTGGTTGTTTAGGAACTCCCTATGTAGACCAGGCTGGCCTTGAACTCATGGAGGTCAGCTTGCCTCTGCCTCCCTGGTGCTGGCATTAAAGGTGTGGGCCACGCCACCACATCTGGCAAAGCAGACACATCTTTATTATATTAACAAATTATGCTAAAAGCACCAAGAACCCAGGTGATCTAGTTTTTCGGTTCAGAATCAGGTTATACACAATAGGCTCTGACAGCTGTGCGATCCCCCAACACAAACTGTTTTTCTGCCTTAATTGTCCTGAAATACAGGACACGGGTAGGGAAGAGTCGGGAGCACTATCAGGAAGGATGTGGAGAGGTTGGAGGGTTGGCACTCTGCTCCTTGTGCACGCTTGGTGCCGCACAAACGGCCCAGCAATGAGAAACTTCGGCTCTTGGTGGACAACAGAAATGCTCAGACTTAGCACATGCCCGGGGGAGCCCTAACAAGGCAGGATCCTTCTGCTCTGGGAAAGCAACTGAAAGATGCAAACGGCCAGGCCCACCCAAGCCAGTAATGATAATCCTTTCCTCTTCTCTGCCTTCTCATATCACCTCAAGGCTGCCATGGTCCTGGGAGATAAGACTCCTGGAAATCCTTTGGAGAATGAAGTATTTCCGTGCCCTCTCCTTCACTGTCTTACAATCACCAAATACCCACTTTCCATGACCTTCAGCTTACCTGGACAGAGAGCAGCAGCTAAGACAGAGCCATGTTTCTCTTTACTGTGCATTTTATGCATTGTTCCCCTCTCCTCCATCTGGGGCCTCTGCCTTAGCATTATTATTTTGGAAAGCTGTGTTGTTGATGACACCCATCATCAGGAAATCTGTGCTAGAGGAAGCCACGTTCAACACCTGAACAAAGTCTGTTAATGCCTAGACTGAGTGTGGGATAGCACTTCCAGGAGTCTGCTGACTGAAAACGCAGCACAAAACCCATCCTGATGTATCATGCTGGACTTTCTGATGCTTAGTTCTGATGGTACCAGGCTGCCAAACAAAGCCAGCGGCGTCTGCTAGCCAGTGGGTTGGGCATTTAGACAGTGCGGTGGTGTGGATTCTGCTCCGGGGGCTTACTGCACACTAACAAAAATGACAAAGGGCATGTGACTGAGGTGGTGCAGCTGTTCTAGAGTGGTGTCTGAGCTGAGCCCTGAATGACGAACCAGAGCCTTCTTGGGGGAGGCACACTACAGAGGGAAGGGTACTGAGGCTGGGCTACAACAAGCAGTTGGGAAGTGGACAGAGGTGGGCAGGAATGACCCTTTTGTTTTGAATCACTGGCAGAAAATGGTGGCTAAGTCTTAGAACTAGTGTCTACTTGGGGAGGAAGAAGAAAACAGCCACCTGGAGCCCATACTCCCAGGCTGAAGGGCTGGGGAAGGCAGAAAAGTCAGCCTGGGACACTTGGGGAGATGCCTCCAAGCTTCTCATCTCTTGGAAAATATTCCCAACACTGTGGAAAATATTCCTAAATGAATAAAGCGTCCAACTTAACAGTAAGGTCTCAGTCTGGAGGTGATCATTTAATGGCAATTGTAAGCAGAGGCCTGGGAGGAGACAGGCATTTTGCCTCTTTGTTCCATTCCCCTAACACCCTGGGAGGCATAGAAAAAGGCTTCCACTGTACAGACAACTAAACTGGGGCTAGCACCTGTCCTCATTAGCTCTCTTGCTGTGAGGAAACACTGAACTTTCATAAGCAACTTGGGGAGGAGCAGGTCTATCTGGTTTCCATTATGGAGGGAAGCCAAGGCAGGAACTAAAGGCAGGACCTGGGAGGCAGGAACTGAATGAGAGTTCGAAGATTTAAGGTTGTACATCACACTGAGGGGGTGGGGGGCTAGTAGATGTGGTGGTTTGAAAGGTTCGGCCCCCAAGTGCTTGAACACTTGACCATAGGGAGTGGTACTATTAGAAGGTGTGGCCTTGCTGGAGGAAGTGTATCACTGTGGGGGTGGACTTTGTGGCTATGTATGTTCAAGCTATGCCCAGTGTGAGAGACAGTCCCCTTCTGCTGCCTGGAGATCAAGATGTAGAACTCGTAGCTCCTTCTCCAGCACCATGTCTGCCTGCACGCTGCCATGCTTCCTGCCACGATGATAATGGACCACAGCTCTAAAAACGTTAAATGTTTGTGAGAGAGCTGCTGTGGCATGTTGTCTTCACAGCAATAAAACCCTAACTAAAGATGGGCATGGTGGATCTCTTAAGTTCGAGGACAGCCTGGTCTACAACAGCAAAGTCGAGGACAGCCAGGGTTACACAGAAAAACCCTGTTTCGAAAAACCAAACCAAACAAACTAAAAAACCTAACTAAGGCAGTAGATTAGTGGTGTGGTAGCACACTTTTAATTCTAGCACTTGGGAGGTAGAGGCAGGCAGATCTCTGAGGTTGAGGTCAGCCTGGTCTACAGAGCAAGTTCCAGGACAGCTAGAGTTATACAGAGAAGCCCTGTCTGGAGAATAAAAAGGCATGCACCATCATGCCTGGCAAGATTATTTTATTTTTAAGTATGTGTGCACACATGTGTATGTGTGGTGAGTGCAGGTACTCACGGAAGACAGAAGAGGGCATGAGATTCTCTGGAGCTGCAGTTACAGGTAGCTGTAAGCAGCCCAAATGTGTGTGCTAGGAACTAAACTTTGACCTTCAGGAAGAGCAGCACACACTTTAAACCACTGAGCCATCTTCAGTCCTACTTTCATTTTTTGTATCTCCATTATCCTCTAGTTGTTGCTATTGCTATTTTTGATTCTGACATAAATAGAATTCTCTTCTGTGTATTCTTTTGTGATTTACTACTTTCAAAGCTGATCTACTCATTTTGCCTGCTTTGACCTTCATTTAAGTAGAGTCACAGCTACTTCCTCTTATATGATTTGACAATTCTGTGATTTATCTATGTTCATACCCACGGCTTGACAGTAGCCCACTGTGTAGACAGATTATATTTAACTGTAATCCCACTGACAGCCATTGGAGTTGTTTCTTGATTTTGGATGTTGCTCACGTTGTCGGTACATACCTGCATTTCTGCTGGGAATAAAGTTAAGAGTGAACTGCTGAGTTATGACCATATCATTATAGATATGTAAGAAGTCTGGACACCTACAGCACAGATGTTTATCACATGCACAGACCACTTTCTTTATAACTGGTAATATTCTTGTCTTAGGACCTACTTTGTCCTAATACAAATGTCATTTTATCAGCTTTCCTTTGGTTAGCATTTGCATAATTCATCTTTTCTGTTTATTTTTATTTTCAACATTTCTTCATTCTACATTTTATTGCAATCTTTTTAAAACTGCAAATTGTGGTTTGACTTTTAAAAATTTAATCTGTTAATTTCTGACTTTTAACTGGAACACTTAGTTTATTCACATTCAATAAAAATACTGATGAATGTAGTCTTTTTTTTTTGAATGTAGTCTTAAATCTACTATCCTGAGAGCTGGAGAGATGGCTCAGCCAGTATTGCTATTGTTGAGGACCCAAATTGTGAACTCACAACTGCTTGTAATTCTACTTCCAGTGGACCTGAAGCTTGTGCACATACCCACAGACACAGGTACACATACCAAAGTTACAATAAATCTTAAAAACAAAAAAACCTACCACCCTATATGTGTGATTCCTATTTTTGTTCCCAGGTTAGGTTAGCCTAGAACTCCCTATGTGACCAAGGATGATCTTGAACTCTGATCCTCCTGTTCCCACCTCCAAGTGCTGGGACTACAGTTATGCATTATCAATCAAGTCCAGTTTATGTGGTGCTGGAGATTGAACCCAGCAAACTAGGCAAGTGTTCTACCGAGTGAACCCCAGTTACCTGATTTCCTACTTTCTGAAAGGTTCTCACTAGGTAGACATCTTTAATTTTTTTAAATTATTATTTTATGTGTTTTCCCTAAATGTATATCTGAGCACCATATGTGTGCCTGGTGCCCACGGAGGCCAGAGAGGGCATCAGATCCCCTGGGACTGGAGTTACAGCTGATTGAAAACTGCCATGTGGGAGCTGGGAAGTGAATCAGGTTTTCTGTAAGAGTAGCCAGTGCTATTAACAACTAAGCCGTCTCTCCAGCCCTTGGGTAAGTGTCTTTGTATAGCTTCTTTTCTCCTGCACTCTGTATTTTATTAACACTCCTTTATCTTTGATAGCAGCCCTTTACTTTTATGACATCTATCTGCTTGAACACAGTGAATGTTTTTTAACCCACATAATCAATACTCAAAGAGGCACACTCTAGCCCTTCTCCTGCCATACATTAGATCCCCATAGAAAACTGAATACCGTAAATAGCCTGACGTGGATCTGGTGGCTAAGCAAGTTCATACTCTCCCTCTCTTCTTCTTCTTTTTTTTTTTTTTTTTTTTTAAGTAAAACATATTAGATAGCATCCAGGTTAATGTATATAATGTTAAGGCATATTTAGAAATACTTCCAGGGCCAAAGAAATGGCTCAATGTGTAAAGGTGCTTGCTGCCAAGCCTGATGGGCCTAGGTTCAATCCCTGGGACCCACTACAGAAGGAGCGACCTGAAACCCACCATGTGTGTTCCCCCCATAAATAAATGTAAAAGAAACAAAACAAACAAAAAACAAAAAAACAAAAATGCTCCCAAGTTGGTTCAAATAATGTTAAGGTCTTATTTTGCAGTATAAGGGCTGGGTGTTGGTATGCATGCCTATAATCTCACTCAGCACTAGGGAGGCTGAGGCAGGGAGACTATACAGGCTAGCTTGGCCTACAGAGCAAAACTCTAGCTCAAGAAAAAGAGATACAATCCCTAAATTAGCTCCCCACTGGTTTTTATTGTAAGTTAGGGTGCGTCTATTCATGTATTCATTCATTCGTCTGATTTTTAGGGACAGGGACTCATCATATAGCCCTGGCTGGCCTGGAACTCACTATATAGACCAGGCTGGCCTCAAACTCACAGAGACCTATTTACCCCTGCCTCCCAAATGCCGAGATTAAAAGCTAATTTAGATTAATTAATAACACGAATGACTTGTACTCATGTAGGCCTTCATGTGATTGGTGTTCTTCAAAACGCTTTATGCATGTTCGTTTATGCAAGTGTCATATACATTCTGCATCATTTCATAAGCTCTGCACCAGAGTGAAGGTGAAGGATTGTCCCAGTTTTCCTGGCAAAGGAGCTGAGATAACTGGTATGCTGAAGAAGATCTTACTGATGAGGGGCAGGGTGGATGAGAAGCCCAGACTGTGTAAAGGACCAGTCACTACTTCAAGGGTGAGGAGCGCTAGCCTACTTGCTTCTTTTACACTCCCTAAACACTTAATGAGCCTCCTTTCTTTCTACGCACCAAATGAACATACATAAGAGCTGGATGTGGTGGCTCTTTCCTGTGATCCCAGAACTTGGAGGACTGAGGCAGAAGGATTGCCATGATTGGGAGGCTAGACTAGGTTATAGAGTGAGATCCTTTCTCAACACTCCCACAGAAAAAAACAAAACAATACACACTATGTTACAAGGAAATCACTTTTGGTTTATGGAATATCCTCTTTGTATTCCAGAGTGAACAGGAAACGGTACAGTAATGGCCCTCTCATGTATCATGCAGGCTGTAGCAAACAGACCTTGCTTTGGATCACATAACATGCTCAAACAAACTAACACCAAACCATTCGTGATAATGTGACAGAGTTCTGGCACTAGGCTGGCTTTCTTTGCTTCTGAAGCACTTGAACTAGGCAGCTTCTCAGAAGGCCAAGGATTCAGATCAGGACAAGCCACCGTGAGCCAGACCTGCCTTGTGAATAAGCCAGGCGACTCACAGTTCACTGAAGCAGTAACTCAGTAGATTGAGGCCTGGGGACACTGCTGCTCCCAGAGGGGATCCGCCCCATCCAAGAACAGAGCTTCAGGAGTAACCGAAGCACTGTCTGGTTAGAAACTGTCACTGCAGTGTTCTGGTACAGAGGGCTGAGCCCGCTGCTTACCCTTCTTTCCCTCGGTTGTGGAGAGCCAGTTCCTCACCGATCCCTTCTTCTTCCTTGAAGTTCTCCCAGTCCAATTTGGACTTCTCAAGGGTGCTCATTTTCTGTTTTTTGGCTCCAATTTTCCCCAAAAGGCTGCTCATGCCACTAGTTCTTTTTATCCTACGGAAAGAAAAATGATTATAAGAGTTCTGACTTCTGGATGAATAGTTTTTTGTTTTGTTTTGCTTTTCATTTTTGGATGGACACGGGGTTCCCTGGATTGGAGCCATTTGTCTGAGTGGAAACCATGCTTGTACCAAGGGCATTTCCTTTTCTGTGTGGCAACTGTAGGCAGGGCAGAATCCTAATGTGCCTTTCCTGCCTAACACACATGACTGCACAGCTGACAGGAAGCCCTCAGCCCTTCAGACCTCGGTGTGCCATGTGGCAGGTCTCTGCTTGCAGGGAGGGAGGAGAATGGTAGGGTTCAGGCAAGACTTTGGAGTCACATGCATAGGTCTAAATTCCAGCTCTGCCCCAATGACTCAAGGCTAGTTGCTCAAGTACATGTTCCTTGGTTTTCCAACCTACACTGCCTGCTTACTCATGGATGGGGGGAATTGTCCACGCAAAGGGCCAAACAGCATCCGGCACAGGGTCAAGGTGCAGTGAACTGTTGGCCACTGTGAATCACTGTCCTCATCTGTGCTTTGAAGTCCCAGAGGACTCTTCCACAGAGTAAGAACCAGTTCCCAGTACATACGAGCAAGAAGTCACAACACTGTAAAAGGGCCTTTTAAAGGCAACTGCTTTTCAACTCCTGTAAGCTGGGGCCTGGTTTTTCCCAAAGGTAGAGAACATCCCGAAAGTAGAGAATGTACAGCCTGTGCTCTACTTGCTGGTGATGCTATCTATCACAGGCTGTGGGAGAAACCCCAAATGCCAAATTCAAGTCTTGGCAGGTCAATTGTTTCCAGTCCATGTGGCATGAATGAGATAAGGGAAACAGAAAGCAGCTAGAGTTTATAAGGTGATATGAGGGGAAGAAACCGTAGAAAGAACATGGGATAAAAACAAACCAACACCTTGTTTTTTATGGGTGGGGGCAGGGATGCGCAGACCAGAGGACAACTCTGTGGTATTGGTTCTGTCCCTCCATCTTTATCTGGGAATCACTGTCAGGTTTGTAGGCTTGTATTGCTGGGTGCCAAAGGCCTTACCCACAAGCCATCTTGCTAGCCTGCTTTTTGTTTCACGAAACTAAAATGAATTTTCTGCTGGAAGAAACTGGAGATTATTTTCTGCTTCACAGGGATAGGCAAGAGTTGAAATAGTCAAGCAGTGCACACTAGCACGGCAATGTTTACTTTCCTGGTGCGTTCTCAGCCTCTTTCCTGTCTGATGTGAATTTGGCCTGTTGTGGACAACCTCAGGTTTGAGCTGAAGGGAGTAATTTCTGAGCTTACCTGGTATCACTCCAACTTATTATAAAACCATAAACTGTGAGCTATCTGTACCCTAGGACAACAGGCTAGTGCCCACACCAAACACAAGACTTGGGCATAATACATTCTCGTTCTACTAACAACGGTCCAGAGGATGTTAGCTCCCCTGTCTAGTTCATACCACCCAACAGGCTGGGCTTATTAGCTAATAAGATCAATTCTGAACAGCCAGGTAAGCTTCATTGTCCATGTCTTGAGTTGGATAAATAAGCAAAGTTCAGAGAGGTTAACAAAAATACACCAAAGGGGCCTGGAGAGATGGCTCAGAGGTTGAGAACACTGGCTTCTTACAGATGTCATGAGTTCAGTTCTCAGCAACCATATGGTAGCTTACAACCATCTATAATGAGATCTGGTACCCTTTGCTGGTGTGCAGGTGTACAGGCAGACAGAACATTGTATACATAATAAATAAATCTTAAACAAAAATACAACAAAGGTCAAACAGAAAATGCAGATTCAGGACAAAGCGAGGCTCCAGAATATGACTGTCTCCAAGGTGAGAAGCTTCGAGTTTTCTGAGAGCTATTTTCTTTTGCTTAAGATAATTAATTGTAAATTGGATCAAAATGCATTGTATGCATTTATGAAAGGACCTGGTCCTTTCTGTGTGGCAGTCCTGGCCTTCTGTAATCATAACTAAGTTCACTGCATCTAAATGGTCAATACCATCTGTTAAGGATGGAGATATGACATGTTCTCCTCTGCTCTGTGCCTCTCAATGGGACTTGGATTCACTGCTCTCTGTAGGAAGAATCCTGCTGCTGCTCATTTTCAGAGATGCCCTGGGCTACCATCTGTTTACAAGAGGTCTGGAAAGGAACTAAGTAAGAGGTCCCTAATGAAGAGGCTGGCAGAGCTTGTCAATGGGGCTGTGAGAAGGTACAAGAAAGACCTTCACTCCCTGTGATCTTTAACACCAGGAATCCACAGAAGAGAATTTTTGGTTTGAAAAAGCATCTAAAGTCATCTTCTCATCCACTGATTACAGTCATTCAACAGAGACAGCAGCTCCACTGTGCTTAAGATTAGGAACACACGAACACACACACACACACACACACACACACACACACACACACACACAAAACTACAAGGTCTGACCTTTGATTATGACGAGAAAAAAAATCTATCAAAAAGGGCAAGAAATGGCAAAGTGTGACAATTTACTAAAAGACCCCAAAAGGGAAATCGCTGAGGGGCTGTTCTATTTAACTTATTTCATCCATGCATTAACCGAACTGCACTTTACAGAGAATGAAACCTGTCATAGCCCACGGTGGTAGACCTGGGCCTAGTTTAGGGATCCTCATGGCAGCTGCTGCCTTCTGCCTGTGCTTGGCCCCACAGGACAGGGACACAAATGATGTAGCTACAGGCACACTCCAATCTCTACTACTGCTCCGCTGGGGAGAAGAGAGGTCCACTTTCTCCATTATCCTGGAGCTCACTGTGAGCAGGATCCAGGCCTTACTTGCTCCTTTTTTCTTTTCGAGACAGTCTCTGTATGTAGCCCTGACTGGCCGGGAACTTGCTCTTTACACCCAGCTCACCTGGAACTCAAGAGAACTACCCGACTGGGCTAGGATTAAAGGTGTGTGCCACCACACCCTGCCATCTTACTCATACTGTCGTCCACAGTGAAGCAAACAACTCAGGGTACATGATTGTTAGATTTTTAATTGACCAAGATCCCTACTTGACAGCAGGTACTCAAACAAACAAACTTCTCCCACAACAAAAAGATTTAACACCATGCTTCAAAAGACAGTTCAGAAAAATTAATTCCAAAACTGGACCAGCAAGGACAAGGACACGTCTGAGCACTAGCGACCTTTCCTCAGAAAGTCAATATACAGAGCTGGGCTCAAGTCTATACCTCTCATATCAAAACTGGCAGAACCACTGACATGCAAACCGTCTGCAACAAGACTCTGTGGCAGAGGTTTGTGTACTCCTTCGAGTCCGTCACTGTTTACAAGGGAGGGGCACACACATGAACTACTTTCCAGAGCCACGCGCAGGTCTGCCACCTTGTACCAACGTGGGGAAAGTTCCAACTTCCCCGCTGAGAGCTTGGGGCTGATGTTCCTTTGGGTTTCCCTAGATTTAGCTGACATCTGTAAGAATGAAAAGTACAATCCAAATCCTGGCTGATTTCAGGTCCCACCTGTAAACTAATCTCCCCAAAGCCCAGGATCAGAGCTGAGCACTAAGGAAAGGACTGAAGCTGGCAGGAGGGAGATTGTCTAGACCCACCCACCTCACCACTGAGTTGAGGAAGGCAGAAACTCGAAGGAAGAAGTCCTAGGGACCTTAAGCATCTTGTGGGTTCAGACCCATCAGAGCTCTTTATAGCATGGAAGCTGATACAATGCCAGGAAGAAAGTGGCACAAATCAGTGAAAGCTGAAAATGAAAGCTGTCCAGAAGCTACAGCGTCTCCGCCTTACACGGACACACTGTTCTTCAGATAAACTGCCCTTGTGCTAAGCCAAGAATGAGGGCATTTGCAGGCATGTTGAGTTTAGATTGAGATAACGTCTTGCAATGTAGCCCAGGCTGGCTTCAGATTTTTAACACTTGTTAATGAAACATTTCTGATTATTCTGAAGGCAAACACCCTGAACTTCTATCTCTTCAGAAATGCTATGAGCCCCTTTCCATGTTAACTGTGAAGGTCTCATCTGTCCTGCTATGGACTCTCAGCTGGCAATCACAAAGAGAACAATGCAATTACAGCTGACCGGTTCAGTTTGAACAAAGAGTTCCTTCTTGGTGCTACTGGCAGGTAAGTGGATCACTAACTTAATAATGGTTCAATCGATTCATAGCTGAATGAGCTACTAGGAAGTGGAGCCTGGTGAGAGGAAGAGGCTCACTGGAGGCACACTCTTCACTTATTTTTTTTGAAAACTTGACACACACTTGCCTCTTGTGTGCTAGAATTATAGAGGTGTGCCATCACATCTGGCTTCAGGCATGTCTTTTAAGGTTGTATTTTTGTCTGTGGATCCTTCCTTTTCTGTTCTCTCTGCTTTCTGGCTACTGAGGTGAACAGTTTTTCCCACCATGCCTTTCTGCCAGTGTGCTAGCTAGCATATCAACTTGATACAGGTTACAGTCTTTTAGGAGAGGGAACCTGAAACTAGAAAATGCCTCCACCAGATAGGTGTGTGGGTAAGCCTGTGATACATTTTCTTGATTGAAGGCTGATGTGGGAGGGTCCTGCTCACTGTGGGAAGTGCCATCCCTGGGTTGGCGGTCCTGGATGGTATAAGAAAGCAGGCTGAAGCCAGCTGTGGTGGTGCATGCCTGTATTCCCAGTGCTCGCAGAGGCAAAGGCAGGTAGATCTCTACGAGTTCTAGGCCAGCTTGGTCTACAAAGGGAGTCCAGGACATGCCAAGGCTACACAGAGGAACCCTGTCTTAGCCGTGAGGAGCAACCCAGTAAGAAGCACACGCCCCCATGGCTTCTGGTGAAGTTCCTGTCTGCCCTAATTTACTCCCCTGACTTCCTGTGATGAAGGACTGTGACAGAGAAGTATAAGTGAAATGAACTCTTTCCTCTCCTACTTGTTTTTGGTCATGGTGTTTTTATCAGCAATAGAAAACTAAGACAGTCAATGTCACAGATCTGGAAGTAATGGGGCCAGGTGGCCACAGACTGAACTTC